TAGGTTGGTAGACAGCAACCACCCAGGGAAGTACTACCGTCCTGCCAGATGACTGTGAAACAAAAACCTGTAACTGTTTTGCATGATGGTAGGATTGCTGGTTTCTTTTTCTGTCTCATAAACACGCTAAGATAACAGGGATATCTTGCTACTCCTACTTACACTTTGGTCACACTTCACAGACACGCACATGCATATATATATATACATACATCTAGGTTTTTCTCCTTTTTCTAAATAGCTCTTGTTCTTTTTTATTTCTTCTATTGTCCATGGGGAAGTGGAAAAGAATCTTTCCTCCGTAAGCCATGCGTGTCGTATGAGGCGACTAAAATGCCGGGAGCAATGGGCTAGTAACCCCTTCTCCTGTATACAATTACTAAAAAAGAGAAGAAGAAAAACTTTATAAAACTGGGTTGCTTAAATGTGCGTGGATGTAGTGCGGATGACAAGAAACAGATGATTGCTGATGTTATGAATGAAAAGAAGTTGGATGTCCTGGCCCTAAGCGAAACAAAGCTGAAGGGGGTAGGAGAGTTTCAGTGGGGGGAAATAAATGGGATTAAATCTGGAGTATCTGAGAGAGTTAGAGCAAAGGAAGGGGTAGCAGTAATGTTAAATGATCAGTTATGGAAGGAGAAAAGAGAATATGAATGTGTAAATTCAAGAATTATGTGGATTAAAGTAAAGGTTGGATGCGAGAAGTGGGTCATAATAAGTGTGTATGCACCTGGAGAAGAGAGGAATGCAGAGGAGAGAGAGAGATTTTGGGAGATGTATAAGTGAATGTATAGGAGCCTTTGAACCAAGTGAGAGAGTAATTGTGGTAGGGGACTTGAATGCTAAAGTAGGAGAAACTTTTAGAGAGGGTGTGGTAGGTAAGTTTGGGGTGCCAGGTGTAAATGATAATGGGAGCCCTTTGATTGAACTTTGTATAGAAAGGGGTTTAGTTATAGGTAATACATATTTTAAGAAAAAGAGGATAAATAAGTATACACGATATGATGTAGGGCGAAATGACAGTAGTTTGTTGGATTATGTATTGGTAGATAAAAGACTGTTGAGTAGACTTCAGGATGTACATGTTTATAGAGGGGCCACAGATATATCAGATCACTTTCTAGTTGTAGCTACACTGAGAGTAAAAGGTAGATGGGATACAAGGAGAATAGAAGCATCAGGGAAGAGAGAGGTGAAGGTTTATAAACTAAAAGAGGAGGCAGTTAGGGTAAGATATAAACAGCTATTGGAGGATAGATGGGCTAATGAGAGCATAGGCAATGGGGTCGAAGAGGTATGGGGTAGGTTTAAAAATGTAGTGTTAGAGTGTTCAGCAGAAGTTTGTGGTTACAGGAAAGTGGGTGCAGGAGGGAAGAGGAGCGATTGGTGGAATGATGATGTAAAGAGAGTAGTAAGGGAGAAAAAGTTAGCATATGAGAAGTTTTTACAAAGTAGAAGTGATGCAAGGAGGGAAGAGTATATGGAGAAAAAGAGAGAGGTTAAGAGAGTGGTGAAGCAATGTAAAAAGAGAGCAAATGAGAGAGTGGGTGAGATGTTATCAACAAATTTTGTTGAAAATAAGAAAAAGTTTTGGAGTGAGATTAACAAGTTAAGAAAGCCTAGAGAACAAATTGATTTGTCAGTTAAAAATAGGAGAGGAGAGTTATTAAATGGAGAGTTAGAGGTATTGGGAAGATGGAAGGAATATTTTGAGGAATTGTTAAATGTTGATGAAGATAGGGAAGCTGTGATTTCGTGTATAGGGCAAGGAGGAATAACATCTTGTAGGAGTGAGGAAGAGCCAGTTGTGAGTGTGGGGGAAGTTCGTGAGGCAGTAGGTAAAATGAAAGGGGGTAAGGCAGCCGGGATTGATGGGATAAAGATAGAAATGTTAAAAGCAGGTGGGGATATAGTTTTGGAGTGGTTGGTGCAATTATTTAATAAATGTATGGAAGAGGGTAAGGTACCTAGGGATTGGCAGAGAGCATGCATAGTTCCTTTGTATAAAGGCAAAGGGGATAAAAGAGAGTGCAAAAATTATAGGGGGATAAGTCTGTTAAGTGTACCTGGTAAAGTGTATGGTAGAGTTATAATTGAAAGAATTAAGAGTAAGACGGAGAATAGGATAGCAGATGAACAAGGAGGCTTTAGGAAAGGTAGGGGGTGTGTGGACCAGGTGTTTACAGTGAAACATATAAGTGAACAGTATTTAGATAAGGCTAAAGAGGTCTTTGTGGCATTTATGGATTTGGAAAAGGCGTATGACAGGGTGGATAGGGGGCAATGTGGCAGATGTTGCAAGTGTATGGTGTAGGAGGTAGGTTACTGAAAGCAGTGAAGAGTTTTTACGAGGATAGTGAGGCTCAAGTTAGAGTATGTAGGAAAGAGGGAAATTTTTTCCCAGTAAAAGTAGGCCTTAGACAAGGATGTGTGATGTCACCGTGGTTGTTTAATATATTTATAGATGGGGTTGTAAGAGAAGTAAATGCGAGGGTCTTGGCAAGAGGCGTGGAGTTAAAAGATAAAGAATCACACACAAAGTGGGAGTTGTCACAGCTGCTCTTTGCTGATGACACTGTGCTCTTGGGAGATTCTGAAGAGAAGTTGCAGAGATTGGTGGATGAATTTGGTAGGGTGTGCAAAAGAAGAAAATTAAAGGTGAATACAGGAAAGAGTAAGGTTATGAGGATAACAAAAAGATTAGGTGATGAAAGATTGAATATCAGATTGGAGGGAGAGAGTATGGAGGAGGTGAACGTATTCAGATATTTGGGAGTGGACGTGTCAGCGGATGGGTCTATGAAAGATGAGGTGAATCATAGAATTGATGAGGGAAAAAGAGTGAGTGGTGCACTTAGGAGTCTGTGGAGACAAAGAACTTTGTCCTTGGAGGCAAAGAGGGGAATGTATGAGAGTATAGTTTTACCAACGCTCTTATATGGGTGTGAAGCGTGGGTGATGAATGTTGCAGCGAGGAGAAGGCTGGAGGCAGTGGAGATGTCATGTCTGAGGGCAATGTGTGGTGTGAATATAATGCAGAGAATTCGTAGTTTGGAAGTTAGGAGGAGGTGCGGGATTACCAAAACTGTTGTCCAGAGGGCTGAGGAAGGGTTGTTGAGGTGGTTCGGACATGTAGAGAGAATGGAGCGAAACAGAATGACTTCAAGAGTGTATCAGTCTGTAGTGGAAGGAAGGCGGGGTAGGGGTCGGCCTAGGAAGGGTTGGAGGGAGGGGGTAAAGGAGGTTTTGTGTGCGAGGGGCTTGGACTTCCAGCAGGCATGCGTGAGCGTGTTTGATAGGAGTGAATGGAGACAAATGGTTTTTAATACTTGACGTGCTGTTGGAGTGTGAGCAAAGTAACATTTATGAAGGGATTCAGGGAAACCGGCAGGCCGGACTTGAGTTCTGGAGATGGGAAGTACAGTGCCTGCACTCTGAAGGAGGGGTGTTAATGTTGCAGTTTAAAAACTGTAGTGTAAAGCACCCTTCTGGCAAGACAGTGATGGAGTGAATGATGGTGAAAGTTTTTCTTTTTCGGGCCACCCTGCCTTGGTGGGAATCGGCCGGTGTGATAATAAAAAAAAAAAAAAAATATATATATATATATATATATATATATTATTCAGTCTACGTTCTCTTCAAAGTGGGGAGTCTTCGGTCTGGAGTAGGTTTCTTGATTCGAGAAATTAATACTACCGTCCTCTTCCTCGGATCAAATCTGACTATTTTAGGCTCGTAGGATGTACAGTGAATCAAATAATACCTCCTACGATCAAATATGGAAAAAAATAGCCTTAGATATATATATTTAAATATCTGAATTTTACTTAAAACAAACCCCAGTAGAAAATGTACAGAAGTTTTCTTTAGGTTATGAAGTTTTGTTTTGTTTTCTAAAAACACAAAATCTTTAGCATTCACAATTTCTCTTGCTGACTTATTTACAAAATCAATATTTATTAAGACTGAAATATTCATTTGAAAAGAAATTACAAAATGCCCGTTCTGTTGGCCTTAAAGCTCGTGCTTTATACGAACAGTTAATATACTGATATTTCTAGTAAAAATAAATACGATTTAATGATGCATAATGGCTTTTGTATTTGTTAGATCAAGCTAAATAATGAGTAAAGAGGATTATATATGCAGATTAATGATGGCGCTACAAAATACATTACAACCTGATAATAAAATTACGCTTATGCATTTTTACTTGCGTAGGAAAAACTAACTTTTGTTTACCGTCTCTCTCTGTCTTTCTCTCTCCTGTCTTCTCTTTCTCTCTCTCTCTGTCCTTTCTCTCTCTTTCTCTTCCTGATCCCCTCTTCCACTTACAAACAAAAGGAGCCATTCACGCCCTTATACACGACATATATCAGGCCAATTTTTGTCTATGCAACGCCAGTACGGACCCAGCATCTGGTAGAATATGCACGGAAGACAGAAAAAGCGCAAAGGTTTTCAACGAAATTAGTTTCAGAGGTGTATGTACTATGAGGAGAGGCTAGAGGAGCTATACTTGATGGCTAGAGAATAGAAGGACAGAAAGAGAAATGATTACGGCATGCAAAATACTAAGAGGAAATGATTAAGAAGACATGGAGAATCTGTTTGACAGGCGGGTCTCAACTATACGAGGTCACAGCTGGAAGTTAGAAGAATAGATGAGTCACGGGGATGTTGGGAAATATTTATGTAGCCATAATGTGGTTAGGAAGTGGAACGACTTAAGTAAATGGCGTGGAATAGGTATGGTAAGGATCACGAAGTCAGGAGAGAGTGAAACCAGTAGCAGTCGGAGTAGAGGCGGGGCCAGGACCTGAGACTAAGTCCTTGCAATCATACACACACACACACACACACACACACACACACACACACACACACACACACACAGGGAGAGAGAGGACCCAGTAGCAACTAGTGAAGACGCGGGGCCAGGAGCTAAGACTCGACCCCTGCAACCACAAATAGGTGAGTACACACACACACAACCACCACTAGTTCTCACATACTAGAATCTTTTTGAAGGCTTTCCTAAACTCCGGGTTGAAGATGGTGTAAATGACGGGGTTGAGGAAGGAATTCATGTAACCTATCCAGGTGGTGAGGACGAAGATGGTCATGCCGGGCTCCAGGCTCGGGTTCTGCGTCTTCTTGCTGATGGCGTCAACGATGTTGCAAGTAAAGAAGGGGACCCAGCACACCAAGAATGCACCTGCAACAGACGATACTTGTACGGAGATGCATCAATATCACAGGAAAAATGGAGATATTTTAAGGACTACTAGACAACTTATGTTACTCTCTATACCACGCAAAATAACCAGTGAAAAAAATAGTATTATTCCAGTCGCTTTCGTCATTTCGCAAATTTTCCATGAAAATTATAATATTGGAAATCACGAAAGTTCTTCCAATACTAATATTTTTCACTGTCGTTATTTTTCACATTAAAAGCAGTTTAAGCAGACCACAAAACTTTATTTCTCTTCGCTGCACTCATAGTGGGAGTTTATGAAGCACTTTATTAAGCCCAGGTCTGGGCGAAACCTCGTATAATAAAACCCCACAGTGGGCAAAACGTCTCATTTCAGGTGGAATCTTGTTAAAAAATGCCCCAGTGTGAACAAAACGTAGCAAAAAATGGCTTTCCCTGCCTAAAGCGTCTCTGAATTAACGAGTCAATAGAGATGGAAATATAGAACAAGACTCAGGTGGAGCGTGGCTAGTGGAGTTGCTAGCCGAGTTGATGAAGATGGATGTAAAATGGGTGGAGACACAGATGGAGCGTGGATAGTGGAGTGGACGAAGGAGTAGACAAGGGTGGATAGGCGGGAGTAGAAAGTCACCACTACCATTACCAACCATTCTATAACTATTATTTCCACTACCACAATCATCAACCCAACAACCTCCTTAATTCTACTTTCACCACTATTACCACCACCACAACTACCTTCCATTCCCTCGTCTCCTTTCCCTCCATCTCTTCACCTGTCCTCCATTCTTTTTTTCTTCTATCCCTCCTCTTCTTTCCCTCCTTTGCCTCCTTCATCTACCTTTTCCTCTTGCAATACACATTTTTTTCCAACGATTCGCTAATTGGAGTGAACTCTTCCTCCTCTCCTTTCTCTCTCTCTCTCTCTCTCTCTCTCTCTCTCTCTCTCTCTCTCTCTCCGTTCTCCTCATTTCTCTTCCACCTTTTCTTTCTCCACTACTTCCTTTTCCAATACTACCCCATCCAGATCTCACTCTCTCTCTCTCTCTCTCTCTCTCTCTCTCTCTCTCTCTCTCTCTCTCTCTCTCTCTCTCTCTCTCTCTCTCTCTCTCTCTCTCTCTCTCTTCTCTTCTCTCTCTCTTCTCTCTCTCTCTCTCTCTCTCTCTCTCTCTCTCTCTCTCTCTCTCTCTCTCTCTCTCTCTCTCTCTCTCTCTCTCTCTCTCTCTCCTTGTTATTCACACCGCAGTAATTATCTTGTTTTCTCATCAGTCATTTCTAAATAAATGCTCACCTCTCTGTCCTTCCTTTCATTACATCTTTATTGTCAATTTTTGCATCATTCATTCCCTCCCTCCCTTGTTGGCTATTCTCTGTTGCCCTTTAAGTTTTCCTCATTGTTTCATCATTAATAATAATATAATGTAATTATGATGACGATAATAATAATAATAATAATAATAATAATAATAATAATAATAATAATAATAATAATAATAATAATAATAATAATAATAATAATAATAACAATCGTAGCCGTAAACTGCTGACAATAGTTATGCCAAACTCAAGGGAGGCTCCTTGTCTCTGGAGTGGCTCTTGATCCGAGGAAGTGAACCTGCTCTTCCCTTCTTGGGAACTTAACTGGGTGGTTCCTATTTCCCCTCTCTGGGTTTAGCGCTTCTCCTATGACTACTGGGACTGCGTTTTGCTCTGAGTCAGACCTTGACAAACCTCTGTTTAGAGCGAAACGTCGTTCAAGTAAGAGCTGACCTTGGCCAGAAACATTGCACAGAGTAATCTAGAAAAGTCTCTCTATGTAGCCTAGAAACACTGATAGGAAGATTTGATATACCGCCCAGAGACACTGAAAGGAAGCATTGATATACCGCCAGGAAGCATCTATAGGAAGCCTCGATATATCGTCCTTCAATGAAACCTTCGGGAAAACGGAAATTTAATATACAAGCCATCAGAAGGAAATATTTCCCTTGCCTCGATAAATTATTATTATTATTATTATTATTATTATTATTATTATTATTATTATTATTATTATTATTATTATTATTATTATTATCTCTTTTTGTTATGACATTTCTTGTGAACTTTTGTCAAAATGTTTCTTTCTCTTTCCCCCTCTTCCACTTTCTCATTTCCCGTTAAATTCTTCATAACCATCACTCTCGTTTAGTCATGTGTGTGTGTCTCTCTCCCTCTTGCCTGTAGATGGTTCATTCTTGCCCGCAACACGTTCAACAAGCATTCATACCAGTCAGAGAATTGTCTTTGATGTGCAACCCTTAATTAACACAAGTTTAGATTCTTATGACTTTCCCTTTCTCTCTCTCTCATTCTCCTCCCTCTTTCACTTTTGGTGGGTTGATAGGTGTTTATCTGTGTACGTTTGTGTGTGCGAGAGAGAGAGAAAGAGAAAGAGAGAGAGAGAGAGAGAGAGAGAGAGAGAGAGAGAGAGAGAGAGAGAGAGAGAGAGAGAGAGAGAGAGAGAGAGAGAGAGAGAGAGAGAGAGAGAGAGAGCCCTTTTTGCTTCATTAGGGGGAATAGAGATTTTAATATACATTGTACAGTTGGCACAGATATTCTGTATATTGTCTACAAAATAAAAAAAAACGTTAAAAGTGACGCAAAGTGGAGAACATAAACTACGGCTGCATGTTGTGTTCCCATAAGAAATAGAACAACCGTTTAATTTGTGTAAAAGATTCAGAAAACTGACATGTGTCTAACTTATTAACTCGTCTGTTTTCTAAACGGTCTCGACAAATTCTGTCAGACACGTCTTGGCATCCCCACTGTTTCTTCAAGTGTCTAATTCACAGCCGTTTAAGTTACGATTATTCACTTCATTGTTATGTTAATCATTGAAGGTTATACATCTTTATACCTTGAGATTCTGGGTTAAGGAAAATACTTTGCTGCAATTATGACAGTTTCTTAATCATCATCTGTATTTTCTCCTTCAATCTTACGACTTCTATTAGCAACATTTTTTTCAGCATTTCTTCATAAGAAATGAAATTACATAAGAACATAAGAAAGGAGGAACACTGCACCAGGCCTGTTGGCCCATACTAGGCAGGTCCTTTACAAATTAGACACATGTGCAACTCTTGGGAATCTTTATTGAGGAAACGTTTCGCCACACAGTGGCTTCATCAGTTCATACATAGGAGAAACTTGAAGAGCAGGAGGAGAATGAGGTAATCAGTCCCTCAACCTTGAGTCGATGTGTTCAGTCCATCAATCTTGAGTAGAATACGGCATGTGAGCGGAGAAGCAGCTTATAAACCGTATGGCAGGAGAGGTGCAGCAGTCATAGGTGGTGTCACATTTGTTTAATGTGGAAGTAGGTCGTGCCCAAGAATTAGGCAAGCGAAGAATTCCTAAGCATTAAGATCCCAAGAAGTTGCACTGTGTGGCGAAACTTTTCCTCAATAAAGATACCCAAGAGTTGTGTCTAATTTATCAACATGTCGGTTCTCTGAACCATTCATCTACAAAGGTCCTTTACAATTCACACATGATGTTCCTTGAGGCGATAATCAATATGGGATCTGAAGTATTATTGCCTCTCCTGATCGTCCACCACAATCATCTGTGGAAATATTCTCTGTGCTTTTCCGACAAAATTTCCACATGAGATAAAAATCCCGTAAAGTATGCCACAGAATGTTCAATTCCCATGAAAAAGTCTCATAAATTTCATGGTATAAATGTTCTTCCACTAAAGAGCCCACATAAAGTTTGTTCTCCCACATATTTGGGAAAATTACCACAAAATGGCAAGAGATTGGACAAATATATGAGTGGGAGGGACTGGGTTTGATTGGTGTCGTGGGTATGAGAGTAAATTCTTGGGTAGCTTTGGGTAGGTGTGGTTTTGATAAGGACCTGCCTTGTATGGGCCAGTAGGCCTTCTGTAGTGTTCCTCCAGACTCTTAAAGTACTTTTCTTCCCACTTACATTACCCGTGTCCAGCTAAATGGGATTTCCGAGTCAAGTCATTAACATTATCATTCACTCCAACCTCCCGTAAAATTACAACGATCACTTTACAACACTCATTGCTTGCTAGATGTACCATCAATCACTTTTCACTACCTCCATCACTCCCATTCTTCACCCTCGAGTATTCTGTTCCCTTCTCTACATCTACCTGTTTGATGCACACCTCTCATGATCCACCTATCTTTATCCATTCCATCTACGTGACCAACCAATTGCAATAACCTTTTCTTCACTCTTGAATAATACATTCCATACCACCACACATTCTGATTTCTTTACGCTTTATTCTCTTCCTAATATGCGCAACACATATGGCTCTCAGACGCATCGTTTCCATTGTTACCTAATTTTTGTCGGAACATCCAAAGATCGTGATTCACACCGACATCAACACTCTCAAACTTTTAGTTATTTTTTTTTTTGCATTCAAGGGTAAAAATTCTTCTGCTTAATCAATTCTCTTGTAATTATCTTTCCCTCGTCTGTTTCAGGATTTACCAAATACTTCGTAGGCCTCTCTGCAGATGCGTCGACTTCCATATACCAAAAAATAATTCTACGGGTTGTTTCGCTCCACTTTTACCTCCCCCTCCACCTGGTCATCCTTCTCTTCCATTCCATCTCTCTCTTCCCTCCTGCCTCCTTAATCTTCATCTCCCTCCCAGCTGCTCATCCATTTCCTCCCATTTGCTGCTTTACTTCTACGTTTCATCTGTACATTTACGATCTACTCTTATCCCACTCCTCTTCTGATGTTATATATATATTCCTTGCCAAGGTCCTCTCTACCTCTTACTTTATTTCTCTCCCTCCTTCCTCTAAAGAGAACTCTCCAGTCACTCCTTATATTCCTTCTCTATTGCTCAGTTTCCCTTCTTTCTCCTTTCTTCCGTTTTCCTTTATCTTATCTTTTTCCACCTCTTATCTCTCACCGTCTCCGTTATCAATTTCTACACAGTTTATCTACATTTCTTTCCTTCCTTACGTTTAGGTGTACTTACATAAGAACATAAGAAAGGAGGAACACTGCAGCAGGCCTCCTGGCCCATACTAGGCAGGTCGTTCTCAAACCCAAAGGCCACTAACAAAAATACAAATAGAAAGCACATCTGTCACGCACTCAACAGACGGAGGTCCGAGCCCCCACCACATCTTATGGTGATTGATCCACATGGATTTGGCGCTTAACGTGAAATATAAATTAATATATAAAACTTTCCCTCCTTATTCTACAGATTTTATTCTCAATCTTTCTCTTCTCTCATTTTCTTACCCTTCCTCTCTACATTTTCTACCCTTTTTTCCCCCTTTTCTACTTCGCTGTTCTCCCTACACTGTTTCTTTCTTCCTCCTATTCATCACATTTCTCTCTCTCTTCCTTCTACGGTCTTTCCTTTTCTCCCCCTCTACACCTCTACGGTCTCTTTTCTCCTCCTCCCTTTTACATTTCTCTTTCTCCCCTCAACGGTCTTTCTTCTACCCTCTACACCTATCCTCTCTCTCTCTCTCTCCTTCTCCCTGGAAACACATTCACTTTTCTCGGTTATAATTACTTCATGTCCCTCGTTCCATATTGATAACTTTTGCATTCCTCTCTCTCTCTCACTCTTTCTCTCTCTGTCTATCTTTCTCTCTCTCTCCAGCTTTCTCTTCCCCTCAGATGAGGGGACACGCTTCGCTGGACATAAAACCAAACTGGACGAAGGAAAAGGAATAACATTAATTTTATTGGTAATGAAATGTATTACATTATCATTATTATTATTATTATTATTATTATTATTATTATTATTATTATTATTATTATTATTATTATTATTATTATTATTACAAATATTATTGTTATTATTATTATTATTATTATTATTATTATTATTATTATTATTATTATTATTATTATTGGAGTACATGTCTTTATTGATGTGACAATTTAATTTTTAAAAATTATTTTCTTTATTTTCAATTTTAAGTACACTTATTTAGTTAAAGTGTTAAAATTCGGATATTTCTGTTCGCAATTGTTTATTTACACTAACGCAGAGGAAATATCATGGTGGACTCTGTAACACCTGTTGTTGATAATGGTGAAAGACAAGTGGAGAAAAATTACATTTAACTGTATAGAAACGTTTGCTACTAGTACAACGTTTCGTTTTGTCCAGGGACAGCCGGAACGTTTCTCTGCATCATAGTGTTTTTTTCAACACTTATTGTGTGTGTGTGTGTGTGTGTGTGGATATGCAGTATTCCGTGAGACAGGAAGTGTCGAACTGTGTTTGTGTTTGTGTGTGTGTTTCTCTGGCTTCAGCATTTTGTACTAGATTTAGACGAAGCTGTAAACGAAAGATAAAATTGATAGTACTTCTATACTTCTGCATGTATTTACCACTGCAACTTGTTCCCGAGTTAGAACGTTCAGTTTCCTACGAAATACCGATCGTTTTCATTTGGCAGATCTAACATCATGCGGAAATTTAATGTTTCTAATTCTAGGTTATGTTAAGTTAAGGTACATTAACGAAATAACAAAAACTTGCGGCTAATTGCTGTTTTTTTTCTCTCTCTCTCTCTCTCTCTCTCTCTCTCTCTCTCTCTCTCTCTCTCTCTCTCTCTCTCTCTCTCTCTCTCTCTCTCTCTCTCTCTCCTCTCCTCCAGCAGTCTCCATTAACCTCTCCTTACCCAGGACGATGGCTAAGGTCTTGGTGGCTTTCCTCTCCTTCTTGGCTGAGGATTTCTCCCTCTTCTTCTTGCTGGCTTTGTTGACCTTGTAGATGGTGAAGCGGGCCGAGGAGGCTTTCTTGTCCTTTTTCTCAAGGAGCTCCCCGCTCTCCTCCACCGCTCTCCCTGCGCTCCCCGCAGACCCGTTTCTCTTGGACTGGATCTGGTAGTTGGGGGAGAGTGAAACAAAATTAGTTGTGGTGGTGGGGGTAGAGCGTTAGTGATGGTAATATATTGTGTTGGCGGAGATAGTGATAGTGAAAAGGGGTTGATGGAGAAGAGGTGTTGAAATGGTTAATGGAAGATAAATGTTAGTGATAATGGAAGAGAGGAGTTGGTGGAAAAGAGGCTTTGGAGGTGGTAGTGGTGAATAAATGGCAGGAAAACAGGCAGACTGGCTGTCATACAGACACTCAGAGGCAGACAGAAAGGTATACAGACTGCGAGAGACATAAATATGCAAACAGACAAAAAAGACACATAGACGAATAGATTGATAAATAGCTATAGACAGAACGAGAGAAAACCAGTAACTCAGATACAGAAGAAAAACGACAGACAATAAAAATAGCAAAATATGCAGTAAACAGAGAGTAAATGTATAAGGAAGGAACATGAGCAACGTATGGGTAACTTTTATTTTATACACGTTTCACACACCAGAGGCTTATTCAAGACAATGTATTGCAGAAGCCTCTGGTGGGCGAAAAGTCTCCTAAATAAAAATTTTCGATATTGCATTTGTGCCTTTATATATTAGTCGCTACTAATTGCCTTCTGTAATATATAAATTAAAGAGAGCTTGGGAAAGTAAAATAAAATCTGCTGTATGTAAAGCTAAAAATATAAATTTTGCTAGTAAGGAATTTATTCTAAATTACTTAAAAATAAATTATCAGTTTTTATGGAAACCCCTCACTAAAATCGTATAAGCTGAAGCCGCTAGCCTGATCTCAACTGCCGAGGTAAGACGCTGTAACCAGACGTGAGGTGCCTTGTTTAGTGAGCTTCGACTGACCAAGTCGAAATGCAAGAAGCTTTCCGGAAAAAAAAAGTTTAATCTCTCTGTCTCTCTTTTCTTTTTGAGTGCCACTAAGATCGAATCTGACCCTCACTGCAGCAAGACCGAAAAAGAAACTAATTGCCTTTGACTGTTCACAAGAAACACCAAGATGACGACAATCTACTCAAGACTTAAGGTTCAAGCTCAGAACTCAGGCCTCAAAGACTTTAGGCCTCAGGGCTCCAGATTTGATGACTCGACGTTTATTGATTTGCAACACGGCTCAGGAATCAATGATTTCTTCATTTGCTTAAGTGCAAATAAACAACACATGTGATCGATAGGTCAACAAACCTTCGAACGAGTGACGCAAGTCAAACTGTTAAACACCAACAACAACAAAACCGGCAGACAACCTTGATGGATCAGATTTCTTCCAGAAAATGCTTGTTCTTTCTTTCCGAGAAATTCTCGAAAGATCCCTCGAGCAAATCCACCGCTGAGGCAGAAAGACGTCCATCGCAAAATCTATCCTTGACTGGAAGAGAAACATATTCGATTTCCTCTTCGCCTTCAGATTTACGACACATCAGAGCTTTAGATAAAGGATCAGGAACCTCAAGAATCATCCGAAGGGGATCCTGAAGCAACAGGTGGTTCCAGGAGTGTCACCTCCCTTTGGAACAAAGTTTGGAATTCCAGAAATTCAGTCTAGCGTTGCTGGAACAAGATCCAGTCTCATGAAAGGTGTCTGATTGTAGTGAAGAGAGATTTAGCGTTACAGATAGGAGAATTTTACAAGTGGAATAAAATCCGATGCTCCTGGAATACGACAGAGTGTTTCTTGAATAGAGTCTGGAGCTCCTGCAATGCGATCTGAGATTCTAAAATCAAATCTGATGCTCACGAATGGATTCTTCAACATTTCAAATTTAATATAGTGCCTACAAAGGAATCTTTACATAAGGAAGCTTCACCTAATAATAAGAGGCTCAGGAATTACTACATAATAAAATGTGATATATCAAGCAGATATTTTATTGCAAATACATTTGCAAAAGTCTTCGCTCTTGTATGTGTTGCTTGTCTGGCCGGAGAGGAGAAAGAGCAATTATGTCATCCATGAGGTGAAAAGGAGGAAGAGTCTCATTAGATGGTGGGATCATTTGGGTCACTGCCAGCTATATTTCCAACGACGGAAGTTGAGAACTGCCATAAGTAAGAACGCCCAATAAACTAACTGCCTTCGTGCGTGCCCAAGTTCAGGATGGGTCACTGATCCAGCAATTTACATCATTTTCAGTATCGGGTAACTTATACTCGAGGATTTATTTTGGTTAATGTCCAGGAAAGTCTTGGCGGGGAAACTATAGGGCGTGAAAAACCCGGGGTGCCTAACGTTCTGCCTTTGTGTCGTTATATATTTCATTTTATGAGAAAACACACGAATAAAACTACATCACTTTCTCCAGTGTTGTCACCTTACCCTAAGTTTATACAATAATGAATTTAAAGACACATTTTTCAAAGTCATCCTTAAAACGTTACCTGAAGATGCCAGGTGCTACAAGCGAAACGATAGAAAAATAAGTTTCAAGTGGAGAGACAAAGGATTTTCGGTATAATAGGATACTAGTGTATCCGAGACAATCTGAAATTACTTTCCCATTCTCAAACTAGTTCTTGAGAGACGAAACGAGGAATCTGATTTTGCTCTTTTTTATTTTAAATTAACTTATACATAGCATTACATCTACAGTGTTACAATGGTAACTAATGTCCAGCAAAGACGTTCCTCCTTAGCCATATACGCATCAGTAAACCCAAGATTGCTAGTACTAACCCTCCACTCTGACATACTAAACCTCCAGTAAAGATTTCGAGATGGGTATCTCACTTGCACACACACATCATTGTATAAAATTATCAATACACCAGTACAATGACAATTAATAATACAACTGAAACTGCTAATAATAATAATGAGAATATTGGAAAAATAATAATAATGACAATAACAAAAAATAATAAA